ACAGGAGTTTGCTGAGTGAACATGGGGAAAAGCAAGGCATTGGGGATAAAGAGGGGTGATGCAAGCAAAGACAGAGGTGAGGAACTAAGAGAACATTAAGTACAATAAGTAGTTCAGTTTATTGAGCATAGAGCTTGCGGTAGCCAGACTCCAAGATGGCCCCCAATGATCCTTACCTCTTGGTATTCACACCCTTGGGTAGTCCCCTCCCACACTGTACCAGTGTTGGTCTGTGTGACCAATAGCATACGGCAGAAGTGATGGTACGTCACTCTTAAGATTAGGTCATAAAAGACGGCAGCTTCTGTCTTAGGCACTCTCTTACTTGTGCACACTCTTCTCTTGGATCACTTGCTCTGGGGAAGCCAGATGTGAGAGCACACAGGTAGTCAAGAGATGCCAGTGTGATGAGAAACAGAAGCCTCTGGCCAACAATGTGAGTCAAGAGTGGAGGCAGATTCTCCAGTTGAGATGACTGCAACCCTGCAGAGCTTTCTGCAGACACTGAGCCAGAACCACCCAGTAAAGCTGCTCCTAGATTCCCAGCCTTCAGAGTCTGTGAGAATAATGTTTGTTGTTTTAAGTTGCTAAATTTTGGATAAGTAGTTGTGTAGCAATAAATAACACATATGTTGGTACTAAGAGTCCTCACTGTATAACAAAAACCTAAAATGTTGAAGTGGCTTCGGAACTAGACCTGGCCTTTGAGGACAGGACTAGTGAAGAAGCTGTTAATAAAATCCTCATGTTTCATAAGGCTGCAGGTGAGGGCAGAAAAATGAGGTAGATCTATCGGAAACTAGAGGAAGGAAGGGATATCCCTGTTAGGAAGGGACAGAAAGTTCAGGAACACTTGTCACCTTTAGCTATGTGAAAAGCAGAATATTTACCTAACGAACTGAGTGATTTAGCTAAGATTTTCAAGCAGAGTGTTGAAAGCGCTGCCTTGTTTTTCTGCTATATATGGTAAAAAATGAGAATAAACTAAATGAACTGTTTAAGAGGAGCCAGAACTTGATGGTTTTGAAAAGCTGTAGTCTCTCCAGATTGCAAACAACACTAAAGTTGAGAAATGGATTCTGAGCCAAGATCAAATCCAGGGCACTGACAGAAAAACATGAGGGAGTGACCGTAATCTTTTGTTAAGACCTCAGAAAGATCAAAGATGGTGCCTCAGAGTCCTTATTCAGTTAGATAAAAGGCCTGCTAAAGAGAACTACATGCTTAAAAGATTCTCTCAATCAAACATTAGGGCTTTCAGGAAGCTTAAATGTTGTCTCTCAGCAGGAGTTTATGGTAGTAAAAGGCTTATCTCAAAGAGATTTATGGGTATAACTTTCAACTAATGGAACAGATCCCAATAAAATTCATAGAAGACCCAAAAAGTTTTTAAAAGAATTATTCAGAAACATTGCCAGCTTGAACTAAAAGAGACAAGAGATGATACCAAATGAAAAGAGGCCTTCAGAGTCCCAAAATTTTGGCAGGTAGCAAACATATTCTATTTTTCATGAAAAAGGAAGGGTGAAAAGAGTAAAAAACCAAATATTCAAAGGGCAAACCTGAGAGCTTTGGCTGAATTATACCCAGGAACTGCCACTCAACCAAGGAACCACCATCATTTCCCTGACTGGATTTCAGAAATGCTATGGACCAGGGGCTTCCTTGTGCCTACTACACACACCCCCCCCCCCGCCCCCGACCCATCTCCCTTTGAATAGGAATAGTTATTGTTGTTATCTAAAGCCTGACCCAATACTATATTTTGGGCATGGGGGGTGAGGGGCAGATATCTCTCTACAGCTTCCTAGGTTAAGAGAAATTTGTACTTGAGAAGCTGTACTTAGGAACTACATCTGAGAAGCCTCAGTTGTACCTGAAACCAATCTGGATGAGATTCTGGACTGTGAGCTGATACCATAATATGATGAGACTTTTGGGGGCTTTGGGAGGGGGTGAGAATGTTCTACATGAGGAGACTCTGGTATGATCCCTGTCTCCTGGCATTCACAGCCTTGTGTAGTCCCCTCCTACATTTACCAGGGTTGGTCTGTGTGACCAATAGCATATGACATTAAGTGATGGTATGTAACTTCCAAAATTAGGTCCTAAAAGACAGTGGTTTCTGTCTTGCATGCTCTCCCATTTGTGCTCTTTCTTTTGGATCACTCCCTCTGGGGGAAGGCTGCTGCTATGTTGTGAGGACAATGAGATAACAATGGAGAAGCTCATGGATAGAGTTCCTCCAGCAAGGAACTGAAGCTTGCTAACTATGTGATTGAGCTTGGAAGTGACATTCTCCAGACTCAGTCAAGCCTTTAGAAGATTGCACCCCTAGCCAAGAGCTTTACTAGGACCTCGTGAACGACCCTGGGCAAAGTAACAACCAGACTCATATTTTAAATAGATCACCCTGATGACTTTGAGAAGGTTGTAAATTTAAAAAACTAGAGTAGGAAGACCAATTAGGAAGCGACAATAAACCTTTCAGAATAAGAGGGCATGCTAATCTTTTAACAGGAATTCTTAGATCCAAATCCATTGATTTACCTGAAAAAGCAGCTTTTAGAACTAAAATTCACTAAAATGTACAGTATCTGTTAAAATGTGCAGAAAACTTTTTTTTAAATAGCTGACAAATTCTTCAAAACATTTTATACATCTTAGACATCCGCTGGGAAACCGAGCATGTATTTAAGTTGAGAAAACAATCCATTTGAGTTGACATCCTTGTTGACTCAAGGCCATGTTTTTTGATCCCTTCCTTGCTTATTATCTCACATTGTATAATAAATACAAGTAGATATGTATAAAAATCAGTATTCACTTACTATCAAAACACTCCATAACAGAAATCATTTGTTATGATGGAAATTTGTTGAAAATTTTTAAACCTACCTAAAAAACACATTTCTATTCTTCAAGACCTAAAAACGAAACTAAGAAGTTAAAAAGATCTGAGCACTTACTATATGTAAGGCACCATGCTATACACTGTACACAGGATTTTTCTTACACCATGCTTCAAGAGACCTGGGGTAAGTATAAGTAGAATAATGACAACTTTAACTGAAACTCAACTCCCTAGCTCATGTTTTGAACCCCAGAGAGTAGCTGTTTTCAACCCCATCAGACCCAGGGCTCCCTCTTTTCAAATTCCTTCACTATTTTACTTATACACGTTTTTCAAATAATCAACCCAAGGATCTAATTGCAAAACAAAGGAGAAATAGAAGGAAAGTTATTTATAATAAAATACATATTTCAACATGTAAATGCTTGGGTATGTACCCAGGAAGACAAAACGAAGTAATCACAGATGCTTATGCTCTACAAGCAAATCATTGTAAACGTTATAGCTAAAACCCAGACCTTTATGAGGTCTGTACTACTGTTGCCTCAAATACCGCAAACGGTATTGATAAAGTTATTTCCAAAACAGTAACAACTCCTGTCAAAGTTTTCAACAAAATAAAGTACAACATTCCTAACTTTATATAGAAGTTGCAGTCCTGGAAATTTCAGTATACATCAAAACTGTACAAAAAAAACTTTACATGTAAAATGGAATTAGGTCCTAGACTCAGAGAACTTACAAGTGGAAATTTCACCTACTGGGATGTTCTGTGAGACAGTCAAAAGTCACATGGGCAATTCTTTGTTTTGCAGGACTATCTTTGGTGTGGTAGAACTTACACTGTCCCTGGCCCCAACAGCATCTCCCCCAAATTGTGACAATCAAAAGCATCCACACAATCTTCCAGAATTTCCAGAGGGTGAGAGAATGGTACAGTCCCTGTTGAGAACCAATGTAGAAGAGGGAGAGGTCTCAGATTTTCAACCCTGAGGTCCATTTACTGAATCCTGAAACAAACGTGGAAGAAAAATCCTTCCTTGTAAAGACATTTATACAACTGTCCAGCTAGGAGTGATAGATACTCCTTGGAGTTCATCAAGCCACCAGTTTCTACCTAGTGGGGCTGCCCTTTCTTCAGGCTATTGTGCCATCTCTAGTGGCACGAATGGTCCCATACAGCTCAGAATTTCCAGTAGGGAAGGGATCTTGAACTGTTGGATCTGTTTGGCCGGATAAATCTCATCATTCTTCATACCCATTATCAACAGAGTCCAAGACTTAACAGCATTACTATGGCTTTTATCACCATTCTGATCTCAATATCCCCTAATCTGACCCAATCATCCACCCTTCCCCACCTTCTCAAACTCTTCCAACTGTTCTCTAGAATAAAGACATATCAGTAAACTTGTCTTTATAGTCTCAACTTCTTTCAATGTTCCCTCATCTTCTTGCCTAACTGAAGCCTGTTTTCTTCCAGAAACAGTACTCCCTGTAGCCCTTTCAAGCAGAAGTTATTTTCTCATGTCCCATATACTTATAGAGGGGTTAAGCGTTCATCCTCCTTGCTTCCCATTGCCAGTCTCACACCCCTCAGAAGTTCTTACCATCACTCTCTCCCCCTAAAGCTGTTGTATACACTCTTTTGGTCACAGTCACAGAGCTCAGTCTTCTCAACTACTACTACACTTCTGGTACCATTCGTAGTGACAATACCTACATGGATGATACAGTCTAATACCATGACTTTCTCACCCACGCTGATTCTTCCCTCTACTCCACCTCAGCCACCACTCCTGTGGTTATACTCTAGATCTTGCCTTCACTAATAACTGTACTACCTCTGAAAGCTAATTCAAGCCTCTCACTCTTAACCACCACCCTCCTGACTTAGTTTCACCTATTTTGGCACTCCAACTCTAACAAACCTATCCCACAAGCCTTCTACTCCGATGAGTCCTACCACCTTCCCATTATTCATCAGCTCCCTGCAGGCTTCCTTCTTACCCTGCTCAACCAGTTTAGATCCCATGATCTATCACGATAATCTACCTCACAAACACTTTTAATCCCCTCACCCCCCTCTTACTCCTTTGTACTTGCTGGACAAATCACAATCCTAGAAAAATCCTATTATACCTACTTTGTGCTTGAACTCAAGTCCATCAATCCTACTACATTTCTCTAGAAGTCAGCTTTCCCACATATACCTTTGCCTCCCGTAAGGTCCCCCTTACTCTAAGATTATGACCTCACCTCATACGTCATAGAGAAAATAGAACCATAGGATAAACTACCTCATTCTCCCTCTGCTAACTCTACCAACTGATCTACATGTTTTCTTACATATGCCGTCCTTACTTTTAAAAAGAAAAAAACATTTCTGCTAAGTTAGTGACCAACCCCTCCAAGAAACTGATCCAAGAGAGGCACACAGGAAATAGTTTTTAGGAGCAAAGTTCTTGAGTAGAGGAGGGGATAAAATGTTTTTCTCCTTTTTATTGACATCATTCCAACTATTAAACTAGTTCTAGTAACTCATTTTTACTCATAGTAGCTATTTTAAGATTTCTGTCTACTAATTCTATTACCTGGGTTATTTCTATGTCTCTTTCTATTGATTAATTTTTCCTTAGTTATCAGCTGTAGTGTCCAGATTCTTTGCATGTCTGGTAATTTTTTCATTAGATGCCAAATACTGAGTTTTATGTTGTGGGATCTTTTAGTATTCCTTTAAACATTTTTGAGTTTTATTCTGGGACACAGTTAAGTTACTTGAAATGAGCTTCATCCTTTTGAGGCTGGTGTTTAATCTTTATTAGGGTGAGTGGAGAACAGTCGTTAGCCTAGAGCTAATTTGGCCCCACTACTTAGGAAATAAATCTTCTGAGGAACTTTTATCTGATGCCCCATGTATTAGGTCTTTCTACTCCAGCTAGTAAGGACCCTATGTATTCCCATCCCTGTGTGAACTCCCAGAACTGTTCTTCCTACTTTCCAGTTGCTTTCCTCCAGCCTTGAAAGTTTCCAGCCAGAGACTCAAGGGCACCTCTCTGTGCATCTCTGGTACCGTGCCCTGAAGCTACTCCAGCCTCCCCAAACTCTGAATTTTCTGTCTCTTCAACTTAAGGAGGCTGTCAGGCACTATTTGGGATCTCCTGTATCTGTGCTTGCAGCCTGGAAATGCAATAGAGGACTCAGCTTTGTGTCCCTCATTTGTGTCTGCTGGAACTTTGTAACTCATTTTTAAAAGAAATCATTTGTTGATCCCCCAGGCCCCTCCAGCTACTACTCTATTTTTTCTGCTTTTGATAGCAGAACTATCACAAAGAGCCATCTATACTTGCTATGACCCCTTTATCTTTCATTATTTTTTCTCTCCCACCATTCCACTAAAATATGCCAAGGGCACACATCTAATCAAATAAAATGGTCACTTTCCCCTTGCTCATCTTCTTGGTGAGCACAGCCAACCAATGTCCTTCCTTCTTGAGAAACTTTCATCCTCATTTTCTTCCTACCTCTCTAATAGCTCCTCCTCTACCTAAGCCCCAGAGCACAGGTTTAAAAACCATCTATATCCCCCAAACTTTCATAATTTATAGTACCAGCCCATGACTTCTAAGTTTTACAACTTCAGTGCAAACTGGTCTAATGCACTACATTCTGCATATCCAATTAAATACAGACAAGTAAGAGGCACTTCAAACTGAACAAATCCATCCTTTCTATACCCTTCCTTCTCCAATTTTCCCTATTTCAGTAAGTGGCCCAATCATCTATCTGGCCAGTTGCTTAACGTAAAAATCAGGGATTAGTCCTTGGTGCTCTCTCTCCCTCTACTACATTCAAATCTACCAGCAAATTCTATTAGTTTTACCTTCAAAATACACCTCAAATCCATCCATTTCTCTTCATCTACACTACTACCACCCTAATTAAAGTCACCATCAACTCGCACTCTTGCCCAATATGACTCATTCTCTACAAGGTAGCAAAAATACTCTTGGAAAAACATAATTCAGATCATGCCACTCCCTTGCCTAAAATTTTCTAAGGAACTTAATTTCAAAACAATACAAATTCCTTGTAGTAGCCTATAATACTTTACCAGATCTGGAGCCCCTGACTACCTCTGGGTCTTCATCTCAGACTACTCAACCCTTTTTTCACTTTGCTCCAGTCATACTGGCCTTCTGTTCTACCTTGGGCTCTCTGCATATTTGGGTCTCCCTGCCTGGAAGGTTCTTCTTGCAGATCTTCACACGGCTGGCTCATTCCCACCATCCAAGTTTCAGGTTGACTGTTCCTTGACCATCTATGCAAAGAAACCTCTATCCTCCCCTCTCCACTTGAAATTCTGTATTATCTTGTTCCACTGCCATATAAGAGTTTTATTTTTTATTTTTATTCATTTGCTTTTTAGCTTTTGTCTGTTTTCCCATTAGAATTCAGTCATTCAATTAAACAAATATTGAACGCTTACTACGTGCCAGGCACTATTTCAGGTGCTGAAAACACATAAGCGAATAGACAAAAGTTCCTGCCCTTAGAGAACCTAAATTCTAGAATTGTAAGATCCATAAAACGAATGCTGGTTTTTCACTGTTTTATCTACAGGGCCTATAATAGTGCTTGACTCAGCAAATGTGCAAAAAATATTTGCCATGAAAGTGAATAAAAATGAATTTATCAATATTTTGTTTTTGTACAACATATTTCATCTCAAATATCCCCACTTAGCTATTAGAACAATGATTAAATCTTTGCTTTAGACTTCAAAACAAGCATATTTGTATTTTGTTTCCCCTTCAGACTCTATTACTTTACAGGTAAAGCACAAATTTGCAACCATCACTATAAAATTCTGGCTCTAATTTCAAATTCTCATAACAGTAATAGCATTCTGTAACATCTATACTCATTTATATTCTTTAAATCCTTTAGTACTTGAGGCTTCCTAGAATAAACTGGAGCTGATTATCCATGCACCCAGACTACCTTTACTTTGCGTAAATTATGTATAATATGCAAATTAAGTTACTAACTAATTCAAGATTTAATGACTATTCTATAAACACATAAAATACATTTGGAAAGACTTAAACATACTGGTAACATAATATACCCATTACAAAAGGAAATTCTCATGGTCCTACCTCATTTTGCAGTTAAAAACCTGGGTGAGTGGGAGCATGCATGCAACACACTCACACAGTGTCGGAAGCTGGATGTAGCCTTAGGTCTGACAGCTCCCAGTTTGAGGCTTTTCCCAACTAATAATTACCTAAATTTAAAGACACAAGTTTTCACAACTATGTCATACAACTCTCTAAGGATAGAGAACATATCTAACATGCTTATATCAGACAATTCCAAATACAAGGGACTACATAAAGGTAAGCAGTTTTTAGCATCAACAAAAAGGCCATTTTAAACATTCAATAAGTATTTGATAATAATGAAATTCACCTGTAAAGCACTTTTTACATATACTGACTTATTCATTACTCAGTGCTACCTCGTAAGGTAGGTCAAAAGACTGATAACACACATGAAGAAACTGAAGTTCATTCAGTAAGGTTAAGGGACTTGTCAAAGGCCACAAAAGCCAATGTACATTTTCTCAGAGGATATACAACTGCTATTCGTGATTCTACAATTATCAAAATAATTAATCTCAATAGATAAAAAGATTTGAACCTATATTAAACCATCCACAGGACATTTTAAACCTCAGGTTATCTTTGCCTCTGGATTCACTCTAAGGCCACATCCTATTTCTTCAGCCAGCACTTGCTATTCTGAAGGAAATTCAACCAAAATGGTTTGCTTCAATAATCCACTGCAAAATTCATCAAACTATGCCACCATGTGTATCTGAAGCTGGACCAAACTTTTTAAAGATAACCTCCATAACAACGAATAATTGAACAAGGGCTTTATCTTCTAAAAAACTGATTATAGCTCCATTCGTGCAACTCAGATAACGGGTCATAGTAGATATTACTAACTACAACAAGTTTTTGTTTTTCATCTACCTACTACCGTGGGGCTGGTGGATAAAATTCAATTCAGATATTTAAAGATGCAAAGTTAGGTATCCACTATGTCTGTATATTACATTACACAAAATACTGTAATAATTCAAATCACTACCTACATCCCAGGCTTTAAGTTAATAAACTTGATCAAGAAAGATTTGCCACAATTGATAAATGTGATGAAGACAACATAGTTAGCTTCAAGTAATTCACTGAAAGTAATTCTAGTAAGTTGTTTAAAACATCTGAATCACTTGTTTTTCTCACTGATTTCCCCATAAATTGATTTATTCTTACAGAAGTTATTGTAATATACTACTGTAAGTCACATTTTAAGGGTTCAAAACTTTAAAAGTAAAAGACATACTCTATGTAGTTCTGTCTCTGTATTTCATACACTCATACTGCTTTGCATTGAGACTCACAATTCATTTTATTCCCAAATTACAATGTAAAACTCTCATTTCCTTGTTGGTTGTCTTCTTCTAAGAACTGGAATCACAAACTATACCATCATACCATGGTATTATTGCTCCTTTTAAAATGCTACCCTCTACTTTAAAATTAGTGTTTTAACCAATTGCTGATAACAAGTACTCTTAACTTTTCAGGAAAAGTGAATCATAAATATAGTCAGAATCCACCCTTTTCATATACAAACAGAACTCTTGCCATTACGTACATACGTACATACACATATATATCTTCCATCTGTTTCTTGACCATTATTGCTATTGCATACCATGATGTAGTAGAATGCAAAATATAAAATTAAAACTTAGTCTATTTTAAATAACATATTAGGAGTGATTTTATATTTAATCCCAGCCACAAATTCATGAACCTGTAAGCATGAACTTTGTTTACAAAATTTAAGCTACCCTTTATTTATTTATTTATTTGGTGGGGAAGATTGGCCCTGAGCTAACATCTGTGCAAACTTCCTCTATTTTGTATGTGGGATGCTGCCACAGCATAGCTTTATGAAAGGTGCGTAGGTTCTCGCCCAGGATACGAACCCACAATCCCCGGACTGCAGAAGTAGAGCATGCGAACTTAACCACTATGCCACCAGGCAGGCCCCATAAGCTACCCTATATTTAGATGGTACTTTTAATTAAGTCCTGTTAATTAACAGAAAGAAAAGGCAGTTCAGCACAAATTCCATTACAGACTATAAAGCACCCACAAAACATCATTAGATACATAAGCCCATTAGTTTCTCATTATTATTTTTTTATAAGAAAATGAAATCTAAGTACAAACAGAATTAATCCAAAATTTCAAATATAAAATAGTACACTGAAACAAGAGCTAATTATGAACACTTCAGGAACCTAGACACTACATAGTTTTCAAGAGGCCCCCTTTGTGGTTGAGTCTCCAGTCTCTTCCTGAGTTGCCTATAGCCTTTCATTTTTCAATTATCCTTCTATTAAGTCTATATGATAACTGCCACATTGATAGAACTGAAATGACTGAAATTTTTAGGACAGTAGATCTTCACCTTGAGCTTTCTGCCCCACCTCATTACAATACTGTGAGAAACTGACGACAAAGATGAACTTTCGCCCTAGAAACATATACCATCACAAAATTGTATATGCATGCTGCAGGAATCCACTGACTTCCAGAATCATTTCCATGGAATCCTCAGAACCCCAGCTTAGAAACTTCTATTCAAAAATATCTTGGGCAGGAAAGAAAGTTCAAACTAGATTTTATTATTGCTTCTCAATTATTTCATTTTATCTAGACTAATTATTTGCTACTTAATGCAAACAGTCCAAATATTCTCAATTCTTAATTCAAACTATCTGCAAAAATTAAACTTTGCTTCTACGAAAATTGAGATTTCAGATATTTCACTTCCAAGATAGTGGACAGAATGGAAAAAAAATCTAGATTTTTACAGCTCCAGATAAGACCTAAAAAATCTAGGTTTACAAAATTTTAAAAGAAGAAAGATCGAGGGGCTGGCCCCGTGGCCGAGTGGTTAAGTTCGCGCGCTCCGCTGCAGGCGGCCCAGTGTTTCGTTGGTTCGAATCCTGGGCGCGGACATGGCACTGCTCATCAAACCACGCTGAGGTGGTGTCCCACATGCCACAACTAGAAGGACCCACAACGAAGAATATACAACTATGTACCGGGGGGCTTTGGGGAGAAAAAGGAAAAAATGAAATCTTTAAAAAAGAAAAAAAAGAAGAAAGATCGATTTTTGGTCTCTTTCAAAAAATGAGAAATCATACTTTTAAACTTAAAGTGATTTAAACTTATTTTTATAAACAGAAAAACTAGATTTTTGTTATTTTGAAAATGTAGTGCTTAACTATTTTTTCTCCTATCAGAGATATGTACATATTTCCAATTTTCCCCTAATTAAAAATAAGAAACAACTGTCCACTTTATAAATGTCCTTAATTTGGGTTTAATAACATTGCATACTGGGCCAGTAATGAAGGATGTAGTTTTAAGAGGAGAGAAAAAGTAGGTGTACGAGATTTTGTCAGGTTAGAACCCTATGAAAACAAGGTGTTGGATTGTAGAGGCTAGAGCCTACTTCTAAGTCTCAAAAGTAGCTGTGCAGGGTAATGCCAATGTGATACCACCATTAACATCTTAATTACATCACATACGCTACCCAAACCAGGTTAGGTAACAGAAGAAAGGTTAACCCTCCAGCCCTTATAATGGAGCACACACTCCAGACATCCCAATGAAAAGGTTCAACTACTGTGCGAACACGGTAGCACCAATTTGTTAAGTATCACTTTAAAATCAGCTTTTTCAGAATGTCTGTCCTAAAGGGAGAAGTATCCATAAAGGAGAATTATAACATAAAGTTCCAATTTTAACCAAAATATGTCAAACTTAATAAAAGCATTCGGTATCACTGATATCTTGGAAAAGTTACCCTTTCAATTAAACGAAAAGCCGTGGCACTAAACTTACTATTTTAACATTTCTAACTGCAAAGTTAAAACGTTAAAGTTAAGATTATAATGTTAAAATAAAAACCTTAAAAATATTATAATGGTGTAACATCTACCTCCCCCAGCTTGTTTAAACTTTTGTCTTCTTTAACCCCTAAAGGGACTCATTTATGTCATATTTAGAGCTGATAGTCTATTCTACTTAAAGTTGTTTCTTAAAAATTAAGAGGCATGCCTAATTAACTCAATGTATGCAGCTTACATTATTAAAACTGTTTAAACGGGAGTACATTAAGAAGTGTTATTTTGCTAGTGTTAAGACCTAGCATTTCTGTCAAGTTTACCAAAGAATCAAAATATGGTAACAACTATCAGGAATACTTCACATGACAATTCTGCAGATACATTTTGATCACGAAATGCTTTCTTAATCTGTCATCTTTCGTGATCAAGATAGGATTATACTTTTTCTAAACTAGATGTTCAATTTAGGTTCTAGGTCTCTCTGATCTAAGAGACACCATAACTAATGTGTCAATCAAAGGCAAAAGTTTGTTTTAACCCTCCATCTTAATAAGTATATCACGCTTCAGCAAATTATCAATAAGTTTTTGTTTTTCTAAGGTCAACTCGGAATTCAATTACCTTTATTTACACTTAGTATACATTTGTGTAACATGCTACTTTCAATATTGTGTCTATATGGCCTGCTCCTACTACAATCATGAACCACAGGGCTGCAGGGCAGCTGATGACCTGGTACTGTTTCCATTTTTCTGTTCGGGTCAGTATCTATTCCCGAGGTCTATGCCTCACTGATCATAGTTTGGTTGCTTGCGAAGTGAAACAAATTCTAAAGATGATGGAAAAAGGCTGTGTGAAGGAAAAAACAAATCCATTATGTCTCTCAAAAACAGGGACTCCACGTTACAAACTAATGCTATCTATCACACTATAAAATGTCAAAATTATTTCAGTGAAAAAAGTTATCTGTAAAATTTAACAAGCACTGATACTTCAGTTGAGCCCAGCTTTCAGACTGCAGCTCTCGGGACTGTGCAAAGTGTTCACAGAAGCAAGACTTTAAATTTCTGAAGTGTACTGTAGTGCTGTCTTGCTTTTATCTAGGCTCTCCCCTCCTTGGCTGCAAAACAAGAACTACAAATTAATATCCAGGGCATTGTAGCACTGACACCCCAACCTGAAAGTATTACCCGTAAAACTTATGAACAGAAACAAAAATAAAACCAAAAGACAAGATTCTGCAGTCACAAGCACTTTAATTTTTAAAAAACAAATCACTTATTTAAAAATAAACAAATGGCACCATTCTACTCTAAAGTTGATACAAGAAAAATAAAGAGGTTCTGTCTCATAGGTCAGGTGCTGGAAGTCAGTACTACACTAGACAATCTCAACTACTATATACACTTAACTGATCTAAAAAGTTAAGATTTAAGACACTACTCTCAAAAGTAACATTCGACTGTCATAACTATTTTACTTGAAAAGGTTAAACAACCCAAACAGTTTAAATAGCTTTATTATCAAAATCAACATTACAAAGCATAATTTCTACATTGAGAAGTCTTACAGTACCAAATAGAGGCATTACAGTACAATTTTCCACAACAGAACTGCAGCGCACAAATCCAGCGACTCCTTGACTCCTTGAACTGTCAACACACTGCACCCTGTTTAAATGGCTGTACCTGAAAACCAAGGTATGCAACTCCTTAGGATCAGCGGTCATCAGGTTATACTGTCAAGGATCGGGGGAAATGACAGAAGATTCCACTAACCCTGCGTCTGAACGCAACTTCCACAAGGTAAAGCCACAGCCGTGATAAAACGTCTACTAGCTGTAAACAGTTAAACACTGAAACCCATCCAGTGGAGACCCCTCAATGCTAAGATTTTTGTGGATGAATTCACTCAACTTGAGTTCGGTTATGGAAAAGAAAGAACCCTCTTTCAAAATTGACATCCATAACATCTACTTAAATTGGGTCTTTTCTCCCCCTATGTTGAGAAACCAGAAAGCGGGCGAACTCAAATTTTATTTTTCAAAAACCTCCCAAATAATTAAAGTCACAGGCTTTAGAAGAGGTACGTTCTCCAAAAAAGCGTCTGCAACATTTTCTCAAGGGTCAAAGAAAAAGTCAGGGATAGCAGCTGAGGACCCTCCCGCCAACCAGAACAGGGAGGGATGGATGCAGACGTCCCGGCAAGGAGACGGGAACGAGGTCTCATCTTCCAGGAAAGCGAGCCGCCGGGCACACGGCCGGGCTCTCGGCGCTCCGCCGCCCGCCCCGCAGCCGAGCCCCCGCCGGGCTGCCCCGAGCGCGGCCGGCTCTCCGGGCCGCCGGAAAGCGCCATCCCCCCGCGCGCAGAACCCGCGCTCCCCGGCGCCGGCCGCGCGCGGAGGCCCAGGCGGCCCTGCAGCGCCACCCAGCGGCCCGCGGCGAGGCCTGCAGCGGGGCCCGCTCGGCGCCGGCCGCCGCCCCCGCCGCCCAGCCCGCTCCCCTCTCCGGATGCACCAGGCCCAGCCCAAGAACTAAGAACACAAAATGGCTGCCGGCAGCTCCGTCACGTGACCTCTTTGTGCCTTTCGGGCTCCCGAACTCCGCGGGACCCGGGGCCAAGGGGCCGGGGTCGGCGGGTGGCCTTCGAGGAGGCCCCGCCGGGCCGCGGCGGCCGGGGCTCGAGGCCGGGGGAGGCGGGATAAAGGCCCGGCCGGCGACCGGGAGTCGGGGCGAGGAGAAGATGGCGGCCATTTTGTGTGGTAGGCAGCCCGCCGCCGCCGCAGGCAGCAGAGGCAGCGGGCCTGGCGGCGGTCGGACAGGGGAGTTAACACGTACCGACTCCTCTTCCTTCTCCATTCCGGTGGGCATCTGCGGCACGGCCCGGTTAATCGAGGCGTACTCGTGCAGGTCGGGCAGATCCTCACAGCGGAACACCGGCAGCGGCTTCGAGGCGTCCAGCGCCCGCGCCCGAAACGACAGTTTACTCATCTCAGGCGCAGCAGATCCCTCTCCGCTCTGGGGAAACGGCCCCGGCCAGCGGGATCATGGAGAACCGGGGGTGCGGTCCCCACTCGCCTGCCGCTGCCGGGGACTTGAGGGGCGGAGCGCAGAGCCCGCCGTCCGGGCACTACCGGCAGCGGGAGGGTGGGAGGCTGTGCCGCGCCGCTCCTCGCTCGCTCGCTCTCTTCAATACGCCATGGCCAACATGGCGGACATTAAAACTCCACTGTGCGCTCTTCAGCCAACCCCAGCCATTCCCCACACTGCATCGCGCAGCGGCGCGGGCACGCGGGGGGGGCGCGGGCTCGAGGCCGGGCGCCGGCACGGAGCGCGCGTCCCGCCAACCCCC